TTTAGTAAATGTGCACAGGATGGCAGCAAATATATATTAGCATTTTACAATTTGCTCATCTTCTGACCCATGTCTCCTCTGTGCAAGTTATAAATCCTTAAATACTCTTCTTGTTTGAAAATGGTGCTGGGTATTTGTATGGACGTTATCACAAAGGGGCAAATCTGCTGTTAATCCACACAAAACCCAAACAGAAACTGGATTAGTGCCCCGTGTTTTCACACGACATCGCACAGAAACTGGACAGAAAGTGGACAGAAAATGGTGTTAACCACGATCTTTTGAAATTCGGTTGTTTGGAGGAAATGCAAATGCGCAATTAAGGTAATTTTGCATTTACTGTAATGTGATCGCCAAATGCGCATTTGGGAGCATTTCCCTGCTTTTCCCATTGTTCCAGTGAGCATTCCTCTATCTGCGCATGTGCAAGAAGCTCATTTCTAGTACATTTACAGGCTTTTCTCGCTTGTGTGTGAACGTTAAATGCGCTTACTTTAATTTTGCAATTAAGGTAATTCCATTTGCGGAATCAAGGTTTATTTTGAGTTTATTTTCGGAATGCCTCTATGCATCCATGACCAACCAACTGCCAAGACCCATCCAGCTGCAAATATATGCTGCATTTATTTATGAACATTGGCAGCTGTGGCTTCCAATTGCAATGTCGTTCAAGATTTTGAAGTTGAGCCAGAGACTTTCAACACCCCACTCAGTTCCCATGCCCATTTCTCAGCCACCCATGCAAGTCTTTAACATGATGACATGACTTGATAAAGCTTCAGTGTATGTTGTTTTATTGAATCACAGTTAGGAAGAAATTTCGAAAAGGCATTCACTTGAGAGCTAGGGCAGTTGTGTGGCCTACTTTAAAAAAGACAATCTTCAAGTTCAAAGGCTATCAGAAAACAATTCTCTGTTTGAAAGTAGCCTTTGTTTGAAGATTAATCTGGTCCAAGCCCACTTGAATAAGCTTATCGCACCAGCACCTGTAATGTTCCCATTGAGCCCCTGGAA